GTTTTGTGTGTTTGATACCAAGCCAGACAAATCAAGAAGGTCTTAGGTTAAACTCTAGTCTATACTGAGTTAGCCAATCTCAGCTGGGTTTGTGGTGCTAGTTTAATACTTGGCTTCAGTGTCTCGTTGGCTAGGAAGGGGGAAAAAAATTGGGCTGGGTTCCTACTCCTGATCTTTTCCAGTGGCCCATGCTAACATGTGTGCGTACAGGGATAGATAAGATCAAATTCAGTTATGTTGCTCACTCTTACCCACATCCCCACACCCCATTGAATAACCTGCCAAAACTCAATATCTGTGTACAAGTATGAAGAATGACTACCACTAGGGTGATGTATTGGAAGACTTCCAGCACCTGTGGAATTGCACCCCAGCATGAGTTGGCTCCTTCAGTAGAGAAGGGAGAAGGGAGAAAATTGGAAAAACAAATGTATATTGAAAAATTGTCTAGCTTCAGAGTTACTACCTTACAGCTACAGACACCCACAATTCATGGAGAACAACATCTGGCATAACTTACAAAATAGCATTGTTCATGCACAGGATGGAAACAAGCTGGCAAAGTGTCCTACTGCGTATGCGAGGTAACGTTTTCTAACAGGGAAGACACAGTCTGAATCTTTATAGTTCAAATTCAACCACAACGTAAGCTCTTTTTTTTTCAAATATTTAATTTCTGGCAAATGCAGAAGCATTCCAGTGCTCATTTCAATTGTTAGCTTGTCCAATCGAAATCTTTTTATCCGAGACGTTTTATTCAACTCTAACTGGCTGCAAATGTTATCACTTTGGGTCCCAAAAATGGCTGCAAATAACTTTGAGCATTCACATCTGGAACAATGATTGCCGCCGAAGCGGTAACAAAACCACAAATCGGCGGAGGGTTGAGATGTTGTAAACCACAGAAGGATTATTCAGCAGCTTTATGAAACTGGTAAATCCCAGGGTTTTATTTACGTCAATCTGTAGCATCTTGTTGTTGTTTTGCAAAATATTATCGTTCCCGAAATGAATTGTGATTTGGCAATGTACATAATAACCGTGCTGCTGAGAAGGACAAGACGATACATTCATGTGACGATACATTAATGATTGGTTAAATTAGTGCCACAATTTAACTGAGTGTGAGGAACGTTACGGTATGGTTCAAAGGAAGGCAAAATAAAGCTTTGCTTTTTTTCCTGCAACGATCGTTTACTAATCAATCATTTTGTTGTCGGTATATAATGCAACATTTTAATTTCCAATTTCTTTTACCAATAACACAGTAAAATGAACTCTGTCCCTATTTTAAATAAAGAGATTTTTTTGGAGCGGTTTCTTCAATGCCAATTGCAATGCCCTTATTGCATACTCAGGAAAGCTCTATATTGAAAAATCCCTGACTGGAAGAGGCTTGAGCAGATAAAAATAGCATACAGCACTGCCAAGAGCAACAATTATACTTAATTAAACAGCTCGTGTGGAAAATCAGCTGTGAAATGAACAGAGGTGCTGGGGCTCTTAATGCTGTGCAACTCTCAATCTTGTGCTTTTTTTAAAAAAAGATAAAACGCTATCAAGAAATTAAGAGGATTTTATGTAAAAGCAAATAATAGGTGACACATCAGTGATTCAATTTCAGACCAGACAACATAATTTGGTGTTCTGCCTTTCTGATGTTTAATTTCTTTCTCGTTAAAAAATATTCCACTGATTATTGTTGGATTTAAAAAAGATTGTTGGAGTAAAAAAGGCAATTCTTTGGACGTCAAAGGAACCTTTTACAACATGTAAAATGATAAATCTTCAGGAACCAATAGATTCCCCTGTGAGTTCTGTAAACAATTTTGGTCAGCCTTAGTTCACTATTTATGGACTTAATTAGATTCTTTCTCAAATGGCTCCTTTCCAAGCACAGTAAAGGCAATACTTGTCTGCAATATTTAGAAAAACAAAATTGAGTGAACTGTGGTTTCTTTGGACCTATGTCAGTGCTGGAAAAGAACAAATTAATTTTAAATCTTTGTTTCATATTTAAAAGAGTAAGAGAATAGTTAAAGCATTCAGTGTAAAGTTTAGTACCATTCGTCAGGCAGCAAAATAAATACATTTAGTTGTGCAGTTCTTTGATGCCAATAGGTGATTTGGCTCACATAAAGTAAGTTTATAGAAATCGAGAAAATAGATGTGCTATTCCCTGTTTAGTTCCAATAACTATTTAATTGTTTAAATTTTGAGCCATATGATTGGGAGCAAATAAATCATAATTTATGCTTTGTTTTCTGCCTTGTTAAAGGTTGCTAAATTGAAAATCTATGAAACATAGAGCGAAGTATCAGTTGTGGATTTCTTGTTGGCTTTGTTTTTCACTTTTTTGAGAAAAAAATGCATTAAAACACTGGTATACAGAGTGATATGAGCTCAAACTGAAAATAAGTGCAACTCTACAACAAATGTGTATTTGTATTTTCATCCAACTATATATTGAATGTAATTATTTAAAATCACCTTATTAAATGTGATGGAATAGAAGATGAAATTCAGTTTGTAGAAATGGAAAAGATTTTCCATAATCTTTTTTGTAATTTGCATTTTTAGTTGTAATTCTGTTACGAGAATGACTCATTACATTGATTTTGCAATTGTTTCAAAACAATCTATTTCTGAACATTCAATATTAAGCACAAAATAATCTTAGATGCAGAAGTCTTCTTTCCATGCATGCAAAGTTTGCTGACACTTTTCAATATGAGTCAACGTCAGTATTCTTTGTAGCTTTCGTATTTTGTCTTACAAATTTATGCAATAAGCAAGAAACAACCATCTTAAACCTTAACAAAATTGGATTTGTTTGCGATTTATCAGCCAAAATACCTAATACTGGTAATAATGCTGGAGGAATTTTAAGAATCTTTAGAAGAAAAGAAATCATTGTTTTCAAAGGTGGAACTCTCTTCACACATGACAAAAGAAAGTGAAGCACTGCCCCTCTGATCACTGCTCCAATGTAATCTATTCTTCCTTATTCTGATTTAGTGTAATTTACTAGCAGTTATATAACATCTGTTTAAGATTTTGATATAGATCAGCCTTAAGTAGGTGTTACCTGAAGCCATACTTCCTCCTTTACAAATCTCTGTCCAGCAGTCAATATCTAACATAGTCTTAAGGTTCAAAGACATAGATGTCTAATATCAAACTGTGCCATTTTATCTGTCCTAGAGCTATATCCAACAAGGGCATTTTCCATCCCTTACTGTGGCAAGCACAAAATTCTGCTGCAAACATTCTGCAGAATGTGTCATATTGCACCTTTGCAAACTCATAGTTTGTTTGAAACAGTTGAAAAAATCCTTCATTTGTGGATAGCTAGTTCCAAAACAGTAAAGGATCATTAGGTGCACAGCTCCGAAGAGAAAGACAGATCACAATCCTCCTTACCTTTAAAATCTAACTTGAAATTGCAGCAATGTGTAGAAATAAACACTCACTCTATGACTTTGAGACCTCTCAGCTTAATTGGGGTAAAGCTGTCACATATGAACCATAATTGTTGTATGTCATGAATGTTACGAATGGGTCATGGTCATTTTATCACTAAGCTAAACTTCAATTACAGTTCATGTGGCAAAAATAAAATTTGCTCTGGACAAGAATGCTATGAAACTATTAATGGTGAAAGTGCCTTACCAGTTTTTGTAACATCAGAGTACAAATTTCAGTAGATCTCCAGTGCAACTGAAATATTACAATAAATTGTTATATTGATAAAAACAAGATGGTACATTCAGCGGTTTAATGTTGTACTTTTTAAGCATAGGAAATGCTATATTCAAATTACTTTCAACATTTCAAGCAGGAAATGTTGATTCCTTCAAATGCAGATTAGATAATTTTCTTTTAGGAAATAACATGGATGTAGTACATAGGTAGTTTGGGACAAATGTGCATGCGGCCGCCAGGAGGTTGGAAGGTGAACTAGATGGGCCTTGGTCTTTTTGTCGTCTAGCATTTCTTATGTTCTTATCTCAATTGTACCACTTTGTCCCAGTTGTTTTGAATGCAAGATTGGTGCAGAATGATTGCAATCAACACAGTAAATTAAGGCGTTTGTTCCTCTATGTATATTGTAATCACAGTTGGAAGAGAAACATTATGTTTCCGCATTGCTGTTCATTCAGGGACATGGATCCTTATGTTAAAAATTACACATCACTACTCTTCCTCAAACGAAACATGGATTCAATGAGTTATCGCAGTAATAATTCAGCTACAATATAAATTATAGAAATACCAATTCTGAGGTGGGACAGTTCTCATGACTTAATCCTCGAAATCTTTGGCTTAAAATTTTAGATTGTGCAGAATTTAGAGCTAATTCTTAAGAATTAGAATGTTTAGATGGGGACCTTAAATAGAACAAACTTAAAATTTTTGTAACCCTTTGAAAAAAGTTCAAGAAATATTTCATTGTTGTAACCCACCACAGCATATTAAAAAAAGTCTTCTGAATCAAACTACAATGCAGCAGCAGATCTCAGTATCTTTAAATTTAAATATGTTCACCTACGAAATACACAGTTGCTACTCTTTACAGTAAACTCCCAGATAAAATTGATCATTAACTTCATGGCTGCTTAGAGAACGTTACTCAGCTCAAATTGACTGTTGCATTTACTAGCAAAATACACATTATGTGAAACACCTTGATTCGTCCTTCCAATGTGAAGGGAACTAAATCGAATGCAAGTTTTATTATGTAAAATAGGAAGAGGATTCGTTGATTTATGCTGCATCTGGTGACTAAAAGTATTTACATATACATCCGTAATTCTTATGCTATCAATGCTCTGTTTATGTGAAGAATAGTCTAATAGGAAGTCAGTTTTTATGCTACTCAAATATACATGCAAATATTTTGTTACTGATGCTGCCAAGCCAGAGTTTAATAGGGAAAAGCTTGCACTGAACTCTGTTGTGGAATTGAGGTTGTTAAATTCACTCTCATTTTTTCCTAGGTTCCAAATTCAGAGGGGGAAGAACGACCCAAACAGTTACAGGAGTCTTAGTCACTGCTTCCAAACAATTTTACGTCAAGAAGGGTACAAACTTTGATTTCTATTTTGTCACTGCCAGTCTCACATTTGATATCCAGCACAGACTATCGACTTATTTCTGTTAAAAATACTCTGAAGCTCACATCATTTAACAAAGACTTTTTGTTTACATGTGAATAACACAGCTATGATTAATTATGGAAACAATTTGCTCCAAATGTGCTATAGTAGTTTTAACTCTACAAGCCTGTCTAGCCAGGTTTTTGAAAAAATCATACACTATATCTCTTGGACCCCTCATTGATTTCTCCACCTAATAATCTTATAAAATTCCCTCTTGAATTTGCTGAAATAATCTGCCTCCACCACCTCCCTAGGCAGTTCATGCTTCACATTCATCACTCTCTGGGGTCCACTTTGCCATATTTGGCAAAGTCCAAAACGAAAGCCTGGCCGAGAAATCGAACAGCTGTTTAGCGTTTCAAAATTCAGAAGCCCCCAAATGGAACTTACAATTAAAGCAACATATCCTGTTTGCTAATATTAGACAATGTGGCTTTCTTTGTGTAAAATTTGTTGTTTTTTCTTATTCTGTGGTTGATTCCTTGTCCACCTGTTGTGGGGTTTGTAACTATAGGTTGAAAATGCAAGGATCAACAACAAGGAGTTGCAAATAACCAGATGTGCTTCACGCTCACTTGAGGGAACTCTGCTCCAACCTGATTTCTTGAATTTTCCAAGTACAGTATTGTCTTCCTATTTATAGTTTTCTCCTGCTTGCAGCCTCTTGCAAGCTACTTATCAGGAGGTTGTTTAAGGCACCACTCAGCGTTCCCTCTCAAATCAACTTGTTGCACCTGCCTTTTGCAGAATTGAGAAGGATCAGCTGAGATACTGATGTATGGAATCTAGTATATGTGCAGTGACAGACTTGGAACTTTGTCCATTATCTGATGATCCTGAATCCTAACTTTCTACGGTGCAGGATATTATAAAGCATTGCTCAGCAATTAATTGTCTTCGCTTGAACAAGTAGAAAGGTAATTGTCTATTTGAGGTTGCTGCATCCGAACTGTTGTACAAACATAATTAAAGAAACCTTGGAAAACATCACTGTTCTTTCAGCCCCTCTAGAGTTTTGTGTGACACTTCTCCAGCTTTAACACCAGACACTTGCCCATAAAGGTTTTCTCCCGTAAAACAAACGAAAAAGAATCCTCATTATAAACAAATACCAAACAGATCAGTATTGTTAGTAAGTGGATAAAAGAGACACCAATATTTATTCAGATGGACACCAATATGTATTAATTGACACTTTTCATTTACAAGTAAACACTCAATATACTTAGTTAGAACACTCATGACATTATATAACCACTGTGCTTCCTTCTACTGTCATCTCGCTCCAGAGGAAGGAGATAATTATTTATAAATTGTAAATTCCTATTTCCATCCACTGTTAAGTCAATGCCATTTTCAGAAGCAAATACTGTGTTTCGATATTTCATAAGATCAAAGTCTTATTTATTTTGATCTTGACAAATGGCACTTATATACTGTAATTCGCTTTCAGACAGCAGAGGTTAACCCACTGGGAATACATCTGTTTATTGAGAGCTGACAGTTTTACAGCCTGCATAAACCTGATCTTGTGCTAGTACCAGGAGCAAAGATGAATGTGTGCATGTGGGAACATAAAAGTGATTAGTGAGTTATTTTATTATCTCTGTAAGATGGTATCTTGCTGCGGTATTAACTTTTATCAAACTAGATTTAAGATCTCTATTGTTCATTAACTTCTTGTTGGATACAAACCCACATATAATGATAGATAACTGTGAAACATTTGCCAAACGTTTAGCATTTGGATAAATTATACTGTCTGTGAGGAGGAATCCCTGCTACACTAAATTAGCATATAGATGTGATCCTAGTAAAATCAAAATAATTAAAAATCTGCTTAATTTGGAACAGTTGATCAAAATCTACTGACTTGCCTATTTAATAGATGTTCAGATGTGAAGAAAAAGTAATCTTTAAATCAACTATTGTGTCAATTAGTTCAAGCTAAGCAAGCTCGCTCTGTTAGATGGAACTAGTAGTCAATAAAACACTGTACAAATTACTAGCAATAAATCTAGGTAATAATGAATTGAAAGATGCCCATCCTTTGAGCATCTTGCGACAGTGGCAAGTGCTGTGCTTTATCATGAGGTAAAGTTCAATATTAAAAGATACTGACTTAATCTTTGCGTGTGAAAATATTTGTGAAAAACCTGATGTACAATTGCATTTATATTCTTTATTAGATTATATTCCAAATGTCTACCATTCAAATATCAAATAATCGAAATTAATTTTGATTGATTCTGAATTATCAACCTGCAACAGTATTGCTAACCACTCATTATATAATAAGGATGGGACATTGAGATTAGCACATTGCTATTTTACCCAATTGTCGGACTAAGTCAGCAATTTAATTTGTGTTAGTTTACAGATAATAACATAGAAGAGGAAATTAATCTGTTAGTAATATAATCTTAAAAGTAATCCACAAAGCAATTGAAATCACTGGCTCTACGAAGCATTTAGTGATGATTACTTTAAAGAAAGTTCTTCTCTGTTCTCTAAAGATGAACTAAAAAAGCAATCAGAAAAAAAGTTTAAACATTACTCTGCATTTTATAGTGTTCCATTTTTGGTGATAATTTTTGACTTTGTCCTATATCCGCATTCACATGCCATCTATTTAGCAGTATGGCATGTTGCTCAAGTAGTGAAACGGGTTTCCCTTGTATCATTCAGTCATGACGATCAGTCAGTTTTCAATTAGCTGTTTAGTATGATATTGCAATATAGAGAAAAACTGATTGCGGCAGTTCAACACACAATTGAAAGACTAATCTACTAGGAGCTGATTTATAGGGCATCTTATACTGTGGCGTTTTAAAAGCCACGTAAGTTCACCCTCCATTGCTCAGCTGGAAGCTCGTGATTGGCAGAGGTGGACTAAACTGCACCGCTGTTGCTCCAGCCACGATTGATGTTTTCTTGCATTGCATCTCTGTGAACCATTACTAGTAGGAGCCAATGACTTTGATCAAGGTTATGTTCTATAATGACTGAATGGTAATTCCACCTCAGCATCAGACGTCCTATGGTGAAATCGTGAGGAAGTATCATCTTTATGTGATTCACTCAATATGTGTCTACAAACAGCAAGAAGTTAGAATGGTTGTCTAGTGACTCGAGAAAATGATTATATATTTTAAACTTGTAGAAAACTGCAAGTATTTTAAGTTATATTTATTTACCTTTGGTTTAATATTGGTTACAGACTAATAGTCAGCAACAATAATACATGCATTTGATACAGTGCTTTGTTATGTCTCAAAATGCTTCACTCAATGAGTTACAGTACATTGAAGTGAAGTGACTGTTATCATGTACACAAATGCATCAGCTAATCTGCACCAACAAAGTAAACCAATCTGAACCAACAATTCAGTAGACAGGTCTTTGGTTTAATATCCCATCCTAGGATAGGATGTAGTATTAGCTTTTGTTTATCAAACAACATGAGGATATCAAAACAGTCCCAAGGATTTTTTGTCCACATTCAGACCTAGCATCAGCATCAGGCATTCTGGATTTAACGTGTGCTGCATACAGGTATATAATAATCCTTGCCTTTGATAGCGCCTTATCACGTTATGGAGACATCTCAAAGTGCTTCACAGAATATATTGTAAAGTGGATTGACTGTATATTTTGTGGGCAAAACAGATCCCCCAAACTGAACTTCATAAGAATGTCTGCTCCCCCAAGTTTGACATTTGTTTACCTCATCAGTCATCTTTCTGACCTCAGTAAATTAGATGCTTAATTTAGCAGCAATTTCTGTACCATCAAATCCATGTGTATCAGTTGCACCTATAAATACATTTCAATCCCTGGGAGATACGGGGGGAGAATTAAAGTATCCCCAATCTTCTATCGGAGATGTCTTAGCAGGAAACCCCCCCAAAGAATTGCAAAAACCATCTTGCAACAAAGTTGTATTTCATTTTTGTTGCCTGCGGTTAGAGATGAAACAGATCTCATTTTGCTATGTTACAGTACAGCTACCTATTCAAGTTTGTATTGTGGGCAGATCAACAGTGATCAAAAGAGTTTTGTCTTGTTACCCAATAAACAGTTGACAATGAATAGCTTGGGGGAAGTGATTGATCAGGTTATCTGCCTACCTATCTCTAACAGACTGTAGATATGCATCTCTGCAACACTTAAAAAAGGGATGTTTACCAGGTTCCTATAGCAACATAGCATTTTAGCAATCAAGAGAGTGACCTATTCTCAGTATATTCTGCTGATCTATCAGTGTAGACAAGTGAAAGCAGCAGGTGGGTGCCTTGCTGTTCACACAAGGAGTAAAGAGCAGGAGGATGCAGGTGGGACACATCCTTTACTTATCTAACAATTCTAAAAAAACAGCTTGGGTTGACGGTGGCCATATGAAATAAAGGTTGTTCCTGTTGGTGGAGAACTGATCAGATATTGTTGAGGATGAAATTCAGTTCACTCAGTGAACTCAGCCCGCTGTAATGGTTTAGCTGCTTGCTAAATGAGATAATGATTGTTTTGTTACACTTTGCGGCTTGGGTTGTTAGATTTTTTTTCTGCATTGTATTTTCTAAAGGAAAGTGTGTGGACAGTTTGGCTTCAGGTGATCCACAACGAGAATGAGGTACACTTAGGGGAAACCACCATCAAGTTATCAAGCATACCAAAGAATCATGAGTTTTTTGTTGTGCATTAATAGCACTGTTAGTGGCTTGTACCTTAAGATAACAGGCAACGTCCCCAGGTAATGCCTCCATTCACACATGTGGTGACAGATTATTGCGTGCAAGTTTCTAGCACCTCTGTTTGCACAGCAATCCTTCAATGACAGTTTCCTATCAAGAGCAAGCAGGGCCTCATCAATAATGCACATCAGCCATTCAGCTTGTAATATTTGTCATATATCAAGTTACTGC